GGCTCAGTGAGTGATAGAAGATCTACGTCAGGCTATTGTACTTTTCTGTGTGGTAACCTTGTAGCTTGGAAGAGTAAGAAGCAAAGTGTAGTTGCTCGATCAAGCGCCGAGGCAGAATTTAGAGCTATGGCACTAGGAATTTGTGAACTATTGTGGATGAAACAAGTTCTAGAAGACTTGAAGATACAGTGTGAAGGCCCTATGAAATTGTTTTGTGACAATAAATCGGCTATTAGTATTGCTCATAATTCTGTTCAGCATGACAGGACTAAACACATTGAGATTGACCGACATTTTATCAAAGAGAAGTTGGATAGTGGGCTGATAACTACATCTTACGTTCCTTCTGGGCATCAGCTCGCAGATGTGTTAACAAAAGGCTTACCAACAGAAAGATTCAAACAACTTACTTGCAAGCTGGGAATGATAGATATCCATTCACCAGCTTGAGGGGGAGTGTTGTAAATATTAGACTGTAAATAGTAATTAGTAGTATTAGTAATGAGGCCCATTAGTCAAAACCCATTAGGGTTTCTATTCTCTCTTATTTAAAGCATGTAGTTGCAACATTGTAAATAGAACTTTTAATTCTATCAGTGAAATATTTTACAATATGTTTCAATGGAAAGTTTCAAGTCCCTTTTCTCTTGAATAGAAGTGACCTTAGGTCTTCTTGACATGGCTAGCTTTTTGGAGTTTAAAGCCATTCACATAGTTTAGAACATGTAGGAATTGTGTTTAATGTTTTCTTATGTTGGGTCACTCTGACTACCCTATACTCAGATTTGGTAACGGTACACATCAAATATTGTCTTGCTTTTTGACTAACAAAGTACGGTTTCTTTTGTGGAGAACTTCAGTCTACTCTCTTCAACTTATTCCATCTTATATTATCAAGTGTTAGAGAAAATACATTATGTTCTTACGGGGTGAAAATAGTTTAAGTTCGTGTTTACCAACAAATTTTCTTTTGAGACAACTCAACACAAAGGATATAAAAATGTATTTTTTCTCTTCCTTTTCTGTTCAATGGTTTTTAGGATAATGCTCTTCTTGATTGCTCACACAACTTGTTACTCATGTTAACTTCAAATGTGAGGAGATGTTGAATATGTAACGCAAAATAAAAGATCTGTCACTGCAGGACAAAGACCCTAATGTAAGGTACAAAGTAGAGGTGACAATGAAATCTATTTAAATAATATCCATCCAATCTATCTAATAATTTATCCATCCAATTTATTTATAAGACAAAAAATAATTTAATGGAGTTGATCCAATCCATCCACTAACTCATATAGATGGATTCCATCCATCTCATTTTATAAATCCATTGGATATTATGTTATTATTTATTAAATTAATTAAATAAATTATTTTTATAAAAAAATATTAAACATCTCAATTAAATAATTTTTCTTTATTCTAAACACAAAAAACAAAAACCCTACGGATAGAAATTTTCTTCTTCTCCAAATTTCTCTCCAAACCAAGAACCCTAATTTCGTCCCCAAATTTCTTCTTCTCCAAATTTCTGTATAAACCAAGAACCCAAATTTCGTCCCCAAAATTCTTCTTCAAATTTCTTCTTCCTCAATTTCTTCTTCCCTCAATTTCGTCTTAATATCAAGCGCTAGTAATTCATCTCAACGTTTCGGTGCTTCAATCGCCATTCATCTCAATAATTGGGTGCTACAATTGCAATTCATCTCAACGTTTCGGTGCTACAATATCCCAAATTCAAATCAGCTATGGCATCTTACTCGACTTTCAGTAATATTTTTGTGTTCTGTTATATGAATCCTGTTCTGTTATATGAATTAGTGTTCACCCATTTTCTCCAGTTCTAACTATTCCGTTGTAATCAATTTTAAGATAGAAATATGGTTTCAAGTGTTATTGATTGATTATACTTGGTTAAAAAATTGCAAATACATATACACTTGGTTTCAACGAATTTCTAGAAGAAACCATGTATCTTGCCGTTGATGGAAACAGAAAGATAAGTAAATTGAATAATCACGTGGATCCAACTACATAGTTTGTTGCAACATCCAAATCTACTAAGGACCAATAAAAAAACTTCCAGTTTAAAGCATCAAATGCCTTAGATATGTCTATTTTAAGGGAAACATTTACACCAAAGCATTTTCTGTTACGGATATTAATGGCCTTAGAAGTTAGACAAATACAGTCCTTTATGTTTCTGCAGTCATTAAGACTTGAAATTTTGGTGGTCAAATTAGTTGACTCTAGTACAAATGATTATTTCTTTGCATTCAATCATGGCTCTATTTCCTACAAATTAGATATTATCATGAAACTAGATTAAAAATTGTTCGGCACACGGGAACAAATATGTTAGAGTTTCAGTTGTTCTTAATTATAAATGTTATCATCAAAACTCCACAATTAGAGGTTAATTTTTTCCAAACCATATTTAGTTCAATAGTCTCCCCCTTTTATACTCTGACAAACATATATAATTGAAAAACAACTTTTCAAATAAATACTTATAGGTGAGGTCTGTAACTCCCTTAAAATTAACCAAATAAATAACTTGTAGTAGATGGCAAACTCAATTTGATTAGATTCAAATCATTTTGGTAGCCCGACTGTAAATCATATTGGAGGTTGCACTAGCAAGCTGGAAATACTTTATGATCAGATGCGAGGCCGCTTAATGCCACATCGCTCTGAGATGGATACAAACTTTATGGATCTGATTTACAAATGGAAACTAGTTGTCATGCTTCGAAAGATGATTGGTGGAACTGATATTTTATTTGAAACGATGGATCTATATTTCTCTTTTGCAAAGGCAACAGATCTTTATATGGTTTTATTAGATTGGCCCTGGTGATTTTTATTGTTACTTTTGATTTTGATTAATCAATGATTAGCAGAAGGGAATAGATTATTAGGAATAATGGCAATATATTTGGGTCATTATCCGCGTGCTTTGTATATTAATCATTTAATCTTTGAGATTGTAGACTTAATCTGTAGGGCTCAACTTGTTTAATGCATAAGTCTCTTTTATATTTATTTTTATTGTTATTGTTGAAGGAATACGTCTCTTTATATTAGATGTCAATTTATAGCATTGTAATGCAACTTTTGTCATTACTTGTAGTGTATTTGATTGAGAGGATAAGGCTCAATCTAGAGTCAACCTATTACTTTTAGAGGATTAACTAAAATATTTCAATAGCAACTTGGAGAAGAATACAGATATTTTGAAGAGTACATTCTGCATATATTAATTGCTTAGTCCTCTAAAGGTTTAAAAATCTGACCTTCTATTAAGAATATTAAGAATATTAATGGCCTCAAAAGGTTTAAGTGCACTAGAGGAGTGAGACAAGTTGGCCCTTTGTCCACCATTCTTTTCTGTTTCTGTTTGGCAGAAGATATGCTAAGTAGAAGAAGTATTGTCAAGTTAGTCTCTGATGAGTGTCTTGAGCTAATCAAGTCTTCAGAAAACAAGTATGTTCCCTCACATGTCTTGTATGCAGATGATATTCTGACCTTCTACTCTGGAAAGATGTCTAACACCAATAGACATCTTAATAGAATCATTGATATCACTGGTTTCAAAACAAGGACTCTACCTTTTAACTACCTTAGAGTCCCTGTTTTCAAATGGAAAGTCAAATATATACACCTTCTTCCCATCACTAACAAAATCTTGTCCAAATTGTCAACTTGGAAAAGCTCATTACTCTCTATAATAGGTAGACTTACTTTGGTCAAATCTATTATTCAAAGAATGATTTCTTATATTTTCCTCATTAACCTAAGTGGGAATGGTTTTCTCAATTATATCATTATATGGCAGGCTAGCATTGTTATTGTATATATTTTCAAAATGATTGGTGACATGATCAATGATGAGGTCAACATCTGTGATAACCTCATTGTTGTGGTGAATGGCTGATAAAGGCTTGGGGGCTGCTTTAATCTTGGCATATCTATGAAAAAAATCTTGTCTTGCTGTCCTCTTTAGAAGTCCACTTCACTCTGGCCTTTTCCTTTTGAAAATCCTCTTCTAGACTCAAAGAAAATGAAAGATCTTTTCTTCTAAGAATATATCAAATCACTTAGAAATCAAAGACTTATTCATACGTATAAAAGTTTGCAATGATAATTCACGAATAAAAATATAACATTAAACTGAAAAAAAAGCAAGTATATTATAGTAATCAATATATAACAAAAAGATGAAATAAAAATAACTTCAAATAAAGTGTTATAGGCAGAGATGACATCAAACAACTCATTTACCTATCTGTCAAGTTCACTTTGGTTTAATTTTCTAAAATGCAGATTGTACGTATCTTTACTATATATATATATATATATATATATATATATATATATATATATATATATATATATATATATATATATATATATATATATATATATATATATATATATATATATATATATATATATATATATATATATATATATATATATATATATATATATATATATATATATATATATATATATATATATATATATATATATATATATATATATATATATATATATATATATATATATATATATATATATATATATATATATATATATATATATATATATATATATATATATATATATATATATATATATATATATATATATATATATATATTAATTGTAAATACTAGTTTAGAATTTTTTAGAAACCATGTAATCAGTATGTACTATCCACTCATATTGAAATAGCAAGACCCTGTTATAAAAACAACTTTAGTGGTTCATCGCAAACAACTTCCATTTAAAGTTAGATAACTAATTTTTAGGAAAGTTGGAATATTGCATCCAAGGCCCTGTTATTAAAACAAAATCAGGTTTATACTTGTTAATAGTTCTCTTGAGAGTTAATTTTTTTATGTGATGACTTAAGCTACGTTTATTTTATTGGATAATTCAGTTTGATTTCCTTTGCACTCACCTTCAATTATTGTCAAATTATAGGAAATATGTCTACCGATGGCGATGAACCCGTACTTCAAATTGAGGATGAAATTGATGAAAGTTCGGTCCTTAGTTCAAAAAGAACAAAAACTTCTACGGCTTGGGAATTTTTTGAAAAGTTTGTTGACGACAAAGGACTCCCAAAGGTCAAATGCAAAAATTGTGATAAAATTTATATGGCTAGAGATGGTGGTGGCACTTCAAATTTGATAAAACATGCAGTGAAATGTGTTGGAAGAGGGAACGAATCTTCTTATCCGCCACTGGATCAAGAAAAGTATAGGGAAAAGATTTCTAAGGTAATTGTCAAACACAATTATCCTTTTACTTTTGTTGAACATGAAGGGATAGTTGACTTACTTTGTTTCTTACACCCCAATGTTAAGTCAATTACTAGAAATACTACAAAGCCTGATGTTCTTAAGGTGTTTAGAAAAGAAAAAGAAAACTTAAAATCCTATTTGCAGTCGATTCCAGGAATTTTTTTTTTAACATCCGATCTATGGTCTGCAATAAATACATATCAATATATGGTTTTGACTACACATTTTGTTAATAGGAATTGGGAATTAGAGAAAAAAGTTGTATCCTTCACTCATTGTCCACCACCTCATAGCGGTTTTAATTTGGCTGAGAAGTTAATAAATTTGCTAAAGGAGTGGGGTATTGAGAAAAAAATATTCACGATTACTTTAGACAACGCATCTAACAATGATGTTATGGTGAATATATTGAAGAAACATTTATTATCAGGATTAGGATTGATAGCTGAAGGTACTTATTTTCATGTTAGATGTGGAGCACACATCTTAAACTTAATTGTTCATGATGGTTTAAAGGTGATAGATGGATCTTTGGATAAAATTAGGTTGTGTGTGAAATATGTAAGAGGCTCGGAAGCTCGAAAGATAAAGTTTGCATCTTGTTTAGAGCAACTTTCAAATGTGACTTCTAAGCAAGTTCGTCAAGACTTACCTACTAGGTGGAATTCCACTTATCTGATGCTTGAGACTGCTATAGGTCAACGAGAAGCCTTTACCCTCCTAAGCGATATTGATCCCTATTTTGATTGTTGTTTATCAAACGAGGAGTGAGATGAGGTAAAAATCATAGCTGATTTTTTGAAGCCATTTTATGATATCAATGTGTTTTTTTTCAGGTAGCACTTATCCAACTGCCAACCTCTATTTTAGTGGTGTGTGGCGAATTCATATGAAAATCAAGGAAGTTGCATGTGTTGATTATATTGAGTTTGAGAAACAAAATCAATTATGTCGCATGGCTAGAAGAATGAAGAAAAAATTTAATAAATATTGGAATTCTTATAGTGTTGTGCTATCATTTGCTGTCATCTTAGATCCTAGATATAAGTTGCAGTTTGTTGAGTGGTGCTATGTGAGGTTGTTAGGTGGTGAGGGAGTACAAGTTGCAAAGTTGATTTTTGATAAGTTGAAAGCTTTTTTTCAAGAATATGTCAAGTCCTCAAATGAAGCAAGCACTTCATCTTCACAAAGGTCAATTAGAGGTAGCCCAAACATTCCCTCAAATGACTTGCAGGATTTTGGGAGTTACGAAAGTAAATTGTGTGGACCATCAAAAGATGAGTCTGATTTGGAAATTTATTTGAATAAAAAAAAATTAATCATGAGCAATATGCTGATTTAGATGTTTTGCAATATTGGAAAGCAAATGAGGGTAAATATCCTAAACATTCTATATTGACACGTGACCTTTTGAGCATTCCAATTACTACAGTTGCATCAAAATCAACATTTAGTATAGGTGGATGTATACTTGATAAGTATCGAAGCGCTCTTTTACCCGAAAATGTTGAAACATTATTGTGTACACATGATTGGCTTTGTGGAACTCCAGGTTAGTATCTACAATATTTCCATTTGTATTCTTTTCTTTTATCTTCTTTTTTAATTAATGTATGTTTAATTGTTTTCTACTTTGATTCTCTTTTGTAGCTGCATTTGATTTTGATGGACCCGATTTTGTTGAGGACCTTTCAACCTTCTTTTCCACAACATGAGGTTACTTGTTTGAGAGTTTTTTCTTTTCACCCAAAGTACTATTATATCATTCATACACAATCTTCATGTTAAGAACTATACACAAAATACACAATCTTCATGTTAAGAATTATATTTCTTCTAACTGTGCTTTATTCAAACATAGAGAGAATGAGTTGAGTATAGTTTCTTAACTTAAGAATATAAAGTCATTAAGAATATAAAGTATAAACCAAGTTCATGTTATTAGATGCATTTATAAACACTATTTTAGAATATAAAAATATGTGAGAAACTGTTTTGAGTTAGAACTAAAAAGTTCAGGATATTATTTTGCCAAGAGTGAAAACACCAAATTGTGCTTATCCTACTGAAAAAAAAAATGAAGGAAATAAGGCCTATTGCTTACTGCACCACTCTTTACAAAATCATCTCAAATTTTTTTACCACAATGTTAAGTAGAGTCATCAATGCAGTGGTGGATGAAATCAAATCAACATTTATACCAGGTAAATTGATCCATGATAACATCATTATTGCACATTAATTGCTTAGGCGATATAATGGAAAGCACATTTCACCTATATGTGCAATTCAAGTGGATTTACAAAAAGCCCGTGACACTGTGGGATGGGTAGCTTTGGAGGAAATCATGAGAGAATTGAATTTTTCAACAAATTTCAATAATTGGATAATGGTTTGTGGAAACAATGTGTCATATAAATATGTTATCAATAGAAAACATAGTGACTGTTTGAAAGAAAAATTGGGGCCCAAAAGATAGAATCATAAAATTTGGAATCCTGACTAATAATTTGTGCAGCTTCTGTCAAGAGGCGGAAAACGTAGATCATATGTTTTTTGATTTCAGTTAATAATTTGGCAGGCATGAAATACTATGGTTTTCTTTCAAACTTGTATTGATCCCAGGCTGACAGACAATACCAAATACATTATAACTACTAGGTGCACTTTACACGGGGAATTAACTATACATATTGATAGTGTAACTTTATGTATTGATAAAATAAGAGTTTATGTTTTGAGGTTGAAGTACCATTGTACATGGATCTAATGGGATCAATTCTATTATGTATTTTTGTAAATCAAATTTTTTTCAAAGGAATTTAGGGTTCTTCTTCTTGAAGGAGACAACGATTCTGCTACTGAAATAAGAATAAAACTTGAAGACAAGATTGTTAAATTTGGTTTTATTTTTTATAGACTTCTTTAACACTAATTCATTAAGATTGTTAAATTTGTGTTAAACAAAAATTGTATCATTTTAGACCAGGGTATGTACAATTTACTTCTTAAAACAATACATTTTCCCATTTTCTTAAAAGATTTGTTTATATATATATATATATATATATATATATATATATATATATATATATATATATATATATATATATATATATATATATATATATATATATATATATATATATATATATATATATATATATATATATATATATATATATATATATATATATATATATATATATTCTTAATTATTTTTAGGATAACTTCATCACTAATTTCTTAAATAGTTAAGAATAATTACTTAAAAGATTTGTATATATTATGAAAATAATGAAATCTTACTGAAAATAATTATTATTTAAAAGATTTGCTTATATATATATATATATATATTTTTAATTGGAATGTGAAGAGAGAATAATTTTTTTACAATTATGAATAACTAAAAAAAAATAATTAAGAATATCTAAGTTTTTTGTTGTGAAATTTAAATTTTTTAAAGAAATTTAAAAAATAATTAAGAATATTAATTTTTTTTGTGAAGTTTAAATTTTTTAAAGAAATTTAAAAAATAATTGAGAATATTAATTTTTTTTATGAAATTTAAAAAATATTTTTTTTTGTAAAATTTAATTTTTTTTATAAAATTTAAAAAATAATTAAGAATATTAATATTTTTTTGTAAAATTTAAGTTTTTTTTTACGAAATTTAAAAAATAATTCAAAATATTTAAATTATGTTTCTATGAAATTTAAAAAATAATTAAGAATTTTTAGATTAATTTTTTGGATGGATGGATATCCATCTATTAGAAATATGATAAATGATGGATTGAATGGATTTTATCTTTTAATGGATGAATTGGATTGAATTTTTATTAAGAAAGTTTAGTGAATTGTTAATGAATTAATAGATTATTTGATCCATCCATTAACCATTCAATCCATATTCATTCAATCCATCCTTTTTAGCCGTCCATAATACAAATGCAATTTTGCAAAAGTTGAATTAAAGAAAATTTTAGAAAAAACCCTAACGTAAGGGACAAAGTACAAGTGCAACTTTGTAAATGCTGAATTTTAGAAAAATTCTAGAAGGTGAGATAAAGTGCTAAGCTGTTAAGAACAAGTGATGAAAAATACTCCATGAAGAATGAAAGCATTCACCCACGTTCAAAGTAATATCATAGTACTACCTACAAAAAAATAAATATACTTTATTTTTGAGTCAAAACTATTGGATAAAAAGGTGACTTAATGACCAAAATGTAGAGTTATAAACGGGAAGTAAACCCCACATTAAAGGGACTTAAAGACAGCAAGAATCTAAAAAAAAAAGAAAAGAAAAAAAAGAATGAATGTGATGTTATGTTTAATTTTTGTTTTTATTTTTATATATTATTTTGACGTTGATCATCTTAAGGATAAATATCAGTTAATAAGTTGGGGTAGTGCAATTAATAATTGGATTTTAAGAACAAAATAAGGAGTAAATGTACATTATCTAATCACTTTAGATATAAAAGATGATTTATAGGGATAAACAAAACAAGTTTTGTTTGAAGTGTGTCGCAACGTGAAAAACAACTTGCGGAAAAACAGAGTTGTCACCAAACGTTATTTATTCTGACAGGGAAAAGAAAACGATCGAAGAAATCTAAAAAAGGAGAAGTCATGGTCTCGCAACCAAATTCTAGGTTCGAAAGTCGATTACGCAAGAGGAAGATATTAGCACTTCCTCGTGTCCGTTGTACTCAACGAGATCCACTCTTGTTGTTCTAATCAAAGTGTATGTATATCTAAAGACCTACTTGCTAAACGGAAACGAAATGGAGAAAACAAAAAGAGACTCGATAGGATTTCGTCGTCCTATGGCTACGTATTCCCTCATGCAATGAGAAAGTTAGAGTCAACGTAGTTCGGAGGACTACAGATGAATGAGGGGATTTGTGCTCGTCAAGACTTCGCCGTCTTGTGCCTACGTATCTTCATTCGGACGAGAATGAAGAAATCAGAGCATTTGTAGTTCGACCTACCACGGGTTGGTTGATATCTTTTATAGACGATGCTAACTTCACGTTCCAGCAGTTAGGGTCGATGTCTGTTTGCGGTAGAACAGAAGCGACATGCCCTTTCTAAAAATGTTTGACGGAAAATTCCGAAGGACAAAATGATTTGCGGTTTTTTTGAGAGTTTTAACCAGAAGTGAGTTGACTTTGTTTGAGATGTGCATTACACTAAAGTATGACATATGATCGCATACTTCGCGCTAACGATCCAAACGACTCGTGCACAAAGTACCCTAAGATGAGGTTAGAAATACATTCGCTCATCTTTTTCCATGTGCTTAAGGCTTGTGACGCATTATGCGCATCATATTTATTAAGTATCTTGAATTGATTTGAGAGAGGAAAAAAGAGAGACTCAATGGGCAAAAGAAAAATCTAATGGGTCTCACACCTAGATATTGTCATGCCAACTGGTCCTGAGAATGAGAAAAGGAATTCTATTCTAATATCCTAATATGATCAATATGAGATCTAATCACTTAATGGAATATCCTAAGGGACTGTCATAATCATACAAGCATATCATGCATCAATATCAAAGTCATTATTCATCATAGGAAATCACAACTTTTCATTCAAGGTACTTGAGAAATCGTCGAATAATCAATCATCACAATCCTAATTGTAACTCTACTAAACACTCCCAAATTAAAGTTTAAATAAAAGACTCCATATTTTAATAAACTCTAAATCAACATTCTAATCACAATTATAAAAAAACGGATTGAACTAGTA